TAATCCTGCAGATCCACCAGTTGTTTTTCAATTTATGCTAAGATTTTATGCTAAGTTACAGTAAAACTGAAAGACTTGTGTGAACCAAAAAGTGAAGAGCACAGAGAACTTCACAGAATGCAGACCAGCAGTTTTTATGTAAGGATTTCAATAAAGAAAAATGTTGTATCACTCTATCTTTTGAACTTTAAAAGTATCACACAGGTTATTGAACTGTTGGAAGGAATACGGAGAAGCAAGCTTCCTCTTCTATGTGAACAGATCATTGAACTTACTCAGAGAGAATGGTTGATACAACCAGCTCGGCAGGATAGCAGGCTTGCCCCAAGAGTAGAAGCACAACAAAATATAGATGAGGAACCTCAACAAGATGAAGAATATCTTGTTCAGGAACAAGCTGTCGTTGGAGGCAGTGAAGGTGATGGTATGAAGTTATCTTTAATTATATGCATGTTTTGTAGTCGTAGCTGGAGAGTGATACAAGTTTCCCATTTGCCACTTAAGAAGCATTACTTTCACTACACTTCCTTCTTACAGATTGATAGTTCAGAGAATGTCTATCACCATTTTATACTCCCACTTTTTCTCCATCCCCCAACAATTTCCTTTGCATCACTTCAGGTATATATTCATCCTCCATATTTATCAGCCAAAGTTACCACCTTTGTGATGTACTCAAACTTTGTTGACTCCTATAGGAGTCTGCTGGTTTTCTGACTTATTTCCCAAAGCATGGAGAGTGATTACTGTTTCATGACACAGAAATATTACCCCCTGCTTAAATAGATAAAGACTTGTTGCTGAGATGTGGCTGGCCTGTCAGTATCGCTTCTTTCTGTGGTCTGAAACTGGTAAATCTGGGTCTCTAACCATGAAATATTAAAAATATATATTTTAAAACATGTTGAAAACGAAGGTATTTGAGGGCTAAAAATGTAATCACATTGCTAGTACTATTTTTGTCTCTTAGACTTGGCCTGTTCTGCTCACCCTCTGTTCTTGCTCTCCTTCTTATGAAAAAGTACAAAAACTACTAAAGCTGAGAGTCTTGGATATGGAGGCCATGATTGGCATTCATGCCCTCTCCTACATGTGAACTGTGATGTTTACAATCAATATTGACTGGGAAGTGCCTCTATACTTTTTGATTGGCAGCCCTGTTAATAAAGATACAATTTTAAATGCAATAGCTTTTTGATTTTAAAAAACAAATAATTACAAACTAAATAGTACATTTGGATTTGAAACTCAGTCAGGCCACTCGGCGCATATCTTTAAACTGCTGAATTCAGAGAATTTTGTCTTGGGGATTGTCTATACCACCTCCACAAGTGTTTGGGTGGAGACTGCCTCTTGGTGGCAATCCAAGGCCTGGCACAGAGGCAGTACAGACATGCTCTATGGAAGACTCTTCTATTCATGTGTGTTACTGTAGAGCTTTGACTATGGCATATTTTCAAGATTGCTGAGAGTCCAGTAAGAAAATGGGGTGCTCACTTTTGCTGTAGGTATATGAAAACATCATACAGGCTGTATGAACTAGCTGCTGATGCAGAGCATCTTGAGAGAAACAGATTATCAAATGAAAGAAAGATGGGATGTTAAGAAAATTAGCATTTAGATACAGATGCTCTGGTCTGATATATATTCTTTGTAACTCAGAAAATAATTGCTTTGTATTGTAATGTAACAGAGTCACTTTCTGAACATGTTGCGGCACTTGGTTCAGTACCTTACATTGCTCGGCCTTACCCTTGGCAAGTTGGTCACACAGGTGAGAAATGTTTGGATCATACTTTTATAATCTTAAATTTTGTGTAGTACTATTTTTTAAAGATTTTTTTTATATTTAAATACATAGCTATATTAGACATAATAGAACAACCTAACTTACAATCATTTTCTGTGGCTAGCACATTGAGATTGTTGTGGAAATAACATTACTTTTTTTTTTCTTCCCCTAAACTAGCATTCCTTATCAAACTGAGGAAATTTAACCCAGTACATCCAGACACTGTTCCAGATGATAGTTGGTAATTTAAGTACTGTATTTTACGAAAATAATATTACATGTTATAAATACCATTTTTGTAGACTTGTACATTTTTTTAAAATGATTACTGCTTTGATTTGTATTGAATATACATTTTGATACTCTGTGTACAATTGAAAAGGGAGGAGCAAATGAAATAATCAGCTATGCTATAGCTATGCAACAAAGAAAACAAACATTTTATCATGAAGTTTAGAAGATTCTGTGCCGTGTCAGTGATCAGTCTTGTCAGATGCATTTCATTCTTCATTTCCTGTAAACCAGTCCATGGATTTGTCTTGGTTCATGCAGCTACCTTTTCTGCCCCTGGTGGATAGGCTTATACAGTCTACCGGGAGTTTTAAAAAAACCAAAACAAAACTTTGTTTATATAGGATAAAGATCTAATGGAGCAAATTCTGCTCTTTGATATATGAATGTAACTTCTGTTTATATCAGTATGTACTTGTCAATCATAGTTAGTTGCTTTAGAAATAAAATATGCACATGAAGTCAAGAGAAACTTCAGTTCACAGAAATTTTACCCGGTATCTACTCAAGGCACTGTGTACATGAGGTAAACGACCAGGTAAAAGACTAGTTGTTGACAAGGTTCACTTTTAGAAGACTGAAAATTGCTTAGCTGCTAGTATAACACTAGTCTAACATTTTTTAGTAGCTGTTACAAAAAAGAAACCTTGGTACTTTATCTAAAGAACAAAACTAACAAGTCAAAATATGTAAGTTTACATCCTACTCCTTTTCTGTGCTTCTGTGATAGGAGTCTTCTGTAACTTATGGGTATATTCATTATTCTGTTTTAAAAATGTTTTTTTCTCTGAAGCCATGTTGAGAACACTCAAAAAACCCAAAAGAACTGATTATCCAGGAGAAACAGTGACCTGCTGTTTCATACATCAAATGCATGAAGTAAACAGAGGCAATGGTTTTTGTGGGTGATACCTTTTACTGGACAAACTGTCCAATGGTATCATTGGCAAGGACATAGACAAGCTTTTAGGTAACACAGTACCCTTCCTCAGGTCTCTGAAGTAAATAAAATAATTCCTCCCCCCCCAATCTCTTTTCAGTTAATAGTACTCTTAGCTCTTACATGTAACACCAGTGGGTTAAAAAAAGTGTGATCTAGAATTTGAGATTTAAAAGGCTTTTTAGAAGGGTAAAAGGATGGTAATAGCAAGATTAATCTGTGAAATGTTCTACTGCTTCATCAGAGTGATTCTCTACCCATTATAAATATCCCATAACTGAAACATTTCTGAAGTTTGAAATGTCCTCTAGAGCTGCAAATTTTAACTGAGCAAAACAAGAATTGCTATAGCTACCAAGCAATTCAGTTTTACTTGTACTAGTGAAAAAGTGGATATTTTAGAGAGAAACTTTATTTAAATAAAATTAGAAAAATAAGCCCGTTTTACAAAGATTTGTACGTAACATTTTATAGTGTAAGTGTTCCCCAGTGTTTAACCCCACATCTAAGTCTTTGCAGGACTGAGGCATTATATATCATTATAATACAAATCTACCAAAAGTGTATCCTTCTAATGAATATTCTGATTTTCTAATTACAACTTTATATGATGGAGGTCTCCTAATCAATGGCTTAACAGATGTCTTTAAGTTTTGACAAATGTGTTATCACTCTCATTTTAAGTATTGTGTTCATTTTACAAGACCTCAGCTCTATAGGACCTCCAACATACAATAAAAGCTATTCATGATTTTATAAAACACAACACCCCAAAAATTGATCTAATGAAAAATAAATGCATATTCCAGTATGTATGACTGTAGGCTGGACTGTTTAAAAGAAAGTTGAACTTGTGTTGCTCACAACCTTAACCTTAGAACTTACAGGATAAACACGAGTTAGGGCTTTGGCACAGCTTACCTTAAAAATATCATACAGGCATTTAAAATGAGAGCATTCATTAGTTGAGGGGTTTTAAAGTGCCATAATTACCCTCTAAAATGTTTCAAACCTCACTACAGCTGAAGTTTATCTTTGATTCATTTGCCCAGGACATTTTAGGGTAGTGTACAAATACTCTGGGGAATTTCTCTCATTCCTCTGGCATCCCAGGATGCACAGATCCCAGCCACTACCTTTTCCCACCCACCAAATTTCTAGGGGGTCTCCTTGCCTGTCTCCCCCACTTCCATACTTTGCAGGGAGCCCCAGGGCCTCAATTAACTGGAGACCACATGGTGGGGGAAGCTTCATTGTGCCTTCTCAGTACCCCTGGTTCCATAAGCCCCCTGTTTCTCAACTCTGCCCTGGTATGTGCTCTGTGCCAGGCAGCAAGCGTATTGGTTCTCAGCCTTGTGCCCTGGCTATTCTTTTCCTCCCCCAGACCAGAACATTTCTCCCACCCCAGCCAGCTTTTCTACCCCTAACCCAATTGTCCCTGTCACTTAATCCCAGTTCACTGAGACACTTGCAAGATTTTAGTTCTTTAATTTTTTTTCACTCCTTTCTCTTTATTCCCCCTCACCTCACTTCAAACAGTTTTTCAGGATTTCTCCCCTCCTATCCTCTACCCTGGCTAGGCTCCTGCTGACTGTAGAGGGAGGGAAGCCACAGGCTGCATGCTAGTTTCTCCAAGATACATTGCAAAAATCTAGTTGGTCTAATAAAAGATATCGCCTCTACCACAACTTCTGATTCCTTTTGCCTCTAGACCAGAGCTTTCCAAACTGTGCGCCACGACACATTAGTGTGTTGGCGGCAGTGTGTAGGTGTGTCGCGCGAAATGCAGAAAATTTTGTGGAAGGGCACCGTGGAGCTCCCTTACTCGCGTCTGCTTCCCTTGGCCCCTCCCCCGGAACTGAATTACTGTGTCGCGAAATGATGCATGTCTAAAAAGTGTGTCACCAACATGAAAAGTTTGGAAAGCTCTGCTCTAGACCAATACAGCTACAACCTGAATGCCATATTTTATGACATCACAACATTTCACAGATTTCTGACATTACACAGGTAACCTGTGCCAAAGCCCTTAGTTTCACTACTGTTGCTTCTAACGAACAGGAAGTCTTAGAAGAAATAGGGTTGGAAGGACCTCCAGAGGTCATTTAATTCAACAGCCTGCTCATGGCAGGATTATCCCTGACTAAATCATCCGAGCCAGTTCAGATAAACTGCTATTAAAAACTTCTAAGAGATGTTGTGGCAACTCCATCCTTAGGTAATCTGTTCCAATGCATAATAAAAAAAAATCTTAATATTCAACCTAAATTTCCTTGCTGAAATGTAATACCATTACTTTTTGTCTTGTCTCTTGCTGTCAGAGTATAGTTTCCTCTTTATAACCACCCTTCAGATCTTTGAAGACTTAATCAAATCCCCCCACAGCCTTTGCTTCTCCAGACTAAATAATCCCAGTTCTTCCAACCTTCCTTCATAAATTACAGTTCCTAGACCTCTAATCAATCAGAAAGAGTTTAATTAGCCCTTTTGGATACCAGATTATACGAGTGATAGCTCTCAACCAACTACAATGGGTACATCTCCCATCTCAATTACACTGGGCACATCTACACGTGTAATTAATGCACACAAAGTCATTTGAATGAGTCTCCAGGAGCAAAAACTGGAGTCTGTTGCTCCAGAGTGTATTCGTGTGCTGCACATTGAGCTTGGTTAGAGCAGCCCTCGCTGACAGCAGTCCAGGGCTGCTCTGACCAGACTCAGTGCACTGTAGAGGGGCTGGCTGGGGCACAAGGGTGCTTCAGTGTGGGGCTAGCTGGCAGGCAGCCCCCACAATGAGGCACCCTTGTGCCCTAGCCAGTTGGGCGGCATCTACATGTGTGCTACTGTGCATGAAAACACTTCAGAGCATTCTGGTACTTGTATTCACATGTAGACACTGACACATTTACTGTGCAGCTAATTAGGCAGCTTCGTAGTAAATGTCTCGTGTAGATACACCCACTGAAATGTATTTTATGAAGGCTATAAAAAGATGTTGCCAAGGACAGCTGGGGTGTTTTGTTAGGTGAAACGGACATCTCCTGTTGTCTTGCAGGAATGATCAGACATGTCTCTGCAAATGGGGTAACCCTGGGTTTCCCTGTTTGCAGAGACATACCCCAAGTCAAATTCCCCAGATGTGCTGCTCTGCAGATGGGGGAACCTGAGCAATCTCTCCTGGGGCTTTAGAGGCCTGATCCTGTATCTTGTGAATGGGAATTCCTAGACCACACAGGATGCGGCCCCTGAAGCTGCCTGGACTCTCCCACCATAAAGCAAATAGATGTCTGCTGCAAAATAGTGGCACAAATTTATACCACTTATGCTGTGGCCACAAGTATTGGGCATTTGTGGCACAAAGAGTGTGGACATCTGTTTGCTTGGCCTATGTGCCACCATAAACATTTTTATGGTGGCACAAAATCAACATCTGTTTCCAGCCTAAGGGGAGCAAACAGCGAGGATATGAATGAAAGTATCATTGATTATGCAATGTTTCTAAGCCTCTTAAGGTCAAGGAAAGGGATTTTCTACATTTTTGCAACATGTTATCAAAGTGCACTTGTTGGCAGCTTCTGTTAGGATCCCTCTAGCCCCCAAACATTCAATCTGAGTTTTAACAGAGACCAAGGATTTGATAAGCATGAAGATCACACTGTGCTCTTAGTACTAGAGACATTCCACCCCTTTGCTAATATTCCTTCTGATCAAAATTAAGACATATTGACAGGATGGAGCTTTTATTGTTAGTGCCTCCATGATACCAGTTCTATAGACTAAGCGCCTCAAGCGATAGTCTCTCCTTTCATACACGTTATATTCACACATTGAAAAACTTACATGGGAACAGGGATATGAAGTGATTTGTTTCTTTCTCTAAGACTGCAACAAACCAATTAAGAGGAAAGCAGAAAAAATGTAGTCCTAGTTTGTACAAAACACTATAACTTCACATGGAATGTTTTACCAGTGCAGAGTACAGGCATTTTATATAGCAAGCACTCTTTGTGTGGACAAAGTAATAACAGCAAACCTGTACTTGGTAGTGGTATAAGAAAATTGCTCATTACTACAAGAAGCTATACTAGTACAGTTTTGCACTTAAAATTGTATTTACCATAGAAGCTACTGCTGACACTAACATGTCAGTGAGAGATCCCACCTCTTAACACATGAACTTAACTCTGTTACCAGAAACCAGTAGTTTCAGTCCTGTAAGAGCTGGATGTTTTAAAAATACTGATAACTGTAATAGATCTGCTAGACAGGTAACTTGCAGTCTACTATAATACACATGCATGTAAGCCAACTAAATGAAAGTTACAGTAGTGAACCCTACCTTGGAAATAGGAGGAAGTAGGAGGATCAATCAGCATTTTTTCAACTGGGAAAGTGTCCTTCAATTCCTGAGATGGATATAGCTCCATCATCTCTAAAGTGCCAGTAGAGGAAGAGGATGAGGATGATAATCCTAGTCCTACAAATCTTCCTTTCTTACCACAAAGCGAACAATCTATGGGTGTAGCACTAGGTCCTCGTGGCATTTGTACTTCATCTCTGCTGTAATTTCTCACAGCTCCACTGTGATGCATGGAACGTTCTCGCTGCCATATATAATGTGTTGGAGCAATAGCCATCACCTATGTTAGAAATAAATTCTGTATGGAACCAGAATCAGGAAAAATAACAAGCAAACCTTGAAACCAAAACAAACCTATTAGTATTCAAAAGCATTTGTTTATCTTGGAAGATGGTACCTTGGTATTAAACTGATCAATTCAGTTCAAAGAATGAGTTTTTGCAAAAATTTGGTGACACAATATGACCATTTAATTGCTAACTGATGTAATTAGTGGGAAGGGGAATCCACTCCGCTTCCATAATACCAGGTTCCATAACACACAATACCTCTCTTTTCAGAAATAAATTTCATTCAGTTAGCATGTTATAGAAGCTGCAAGTGCTTTTTTCTTGCCTGAACTCCTAAATGATTTTTTTTTAATTCCCCTGACTTTAGAGTTTGGCAAAGTCTTGTGCTGTTTCACTTAGTATAAAACCCGTTGTGAATTATATCATGCTTTCCAAAAATAGATGATGTCAAAGTTTCAATATAAAGCCTCCCAGCAAAGAAACTGCCTGAGGGATATTACTACATTTCCCCAGTCTTAAATCTGATACCAGTTCTCTTGGAGACAGGGTACAATCATGCAGTTTCATGGTTTGTTATTTTATGAAAATAAAAGAGAACCTCTTCTGTTCCAAATTCAAACAATATATGCCTTTTACAGTCATTAAAGTTCCAAACCCCAAGGCCAAGTCCAAGCCATTACAAGCAGTTGGAATAAATCTAAATACTATATTTACTTAAATCCAAGATAACTTTGAATTTAATACAACCCCCAATAATTTGATTCTATACATGGAAATTTATACGTTTGTTATAATTTTCATGTACAGAATATAATTATTGGAGTGTCTTCTTCAATTCATCCCCCCGCCCCCCACTACTACAGCAGAGAAAGCAGCAGTGGAGGGGTAGGCAGCTTGACTGCACCCTTTGCCCCTATACCCCTACCCCTTGTCCTCCCTGCACTTGTCTCCTTTGCCACCTACCCCTGCCCTCTATGGTGCATGCACCTGCCTCCCCTATACGTCTCCACAGTGACTGTAGCTCCTGCTGCCTCCCCCATGCCTGCATCCCCTGCTGCCTGCCCCCCCTGCCATCTGCCCCCAAAGCACTTACTGTCAGTAACCCCAAGATGCTGAGGCTGCTGCCACCACTACAGCTGCTGCTGCATTTCTGAGCTGGGGCTGGAGCTATCCTGTGCTCCATGCCCAGGTCAGAAAGGGCCAGAGCAATAACTGAGCACTGGGCGGAAGTGTGGGTGTCAACTGCTGCGCCTCCGATCCTATCTCAGGGCCAGAGTTGATGCCAAAGTAAATGCCAGCCCCACTCCTTTGCCTTGTACTAGATTCCAAGACAAGTGGCTTTTCCCCTCATGCTGAATGGGGGTAAAAACTCATCTTGGATTTGAGTAAATGTGATATAAAAGAATGAGGACATGGGATATTTTTCCCTTTATAGTTAAACTCAGGTTTTAAAAAATGGGATGAAATAATGCAAAAGCAACTGGGGGAGAGGTTGTTAAGTTAACACTTTTACTCAAAGTAAAAAACAAAAAGGCATATTTAAATAAAAGGCAGAATTTTAGTCTTATGGATCCACGGAATTTTTTGCTATTGACTTCACTGGGATTTCACTCAATCTAAAAGTTTTATATAGGACTTGAGGTAGACACGGTTCTTTGGGTAAATCTGATATTTTTTATTAAACCAACTCAAATAGTTGGAAAAATTCTAGTTAAGAATTTTTCCAACTACAGTAAAATCTCCATTATCCGGCATGAGTGGGGGATGCCGGTATTGTAAAAATGCCGGTCATCTAAAAATACCGGAGCCAGAGCAGAGGGCTTGCACACAGTGACATGGAGTGGTGGATGGCACTGGCACGGGAAGATTGCATGAGACTTGCACATGGCGGTGGTGCGGGGTGGTGGATGGCGTGGCAGCAGCACAGGTGGTTGCACGGGGCAGTGGCAGTGCGGAGTAGTGGATGGTAGCGGCACAGCGGCATGGTGCCAGTTAATAGAGTATGCTGGCTAGTAGAATGCCAGAAAACAGGGATTTTACTGTATTTGAGTTGGTCTAATAAAAGATATCACATTTACCCAAAAAACTTGTCTGCCTGTGTCCTTAGACTAACACAGCTACAATCTATACCTATATAGGAGTTGATGAGTTTTCTAAGTAATTGCAAAAACAAAACATTTCTAAACGGAGATGTAAAATGGTCAATTAAAGACTGCGTTCAGCAGAAACTTGTGAAACACGTTTGGGAGTAGTAGCACAATGTAAAAACACCCCAGTTGCAAGGTGGGCTAACTGAACAATTTTTTTTTAAAGTTTGGATATAGACTTGAAAGAAGATTTCAGGATTTTTGCTTAAAAACAATGTCCATAAGAAAACTTACTAAATGCAAAAGAAAATTCTGGTAAATTTAGAACAGAATAGACAAATCCTTACATTTCAACTGCATGTATCCCTTTTTTGATGGTCATCAAGAAATTTCTATGGCAGAAAATATTATATACATACAATAATATATATTTTTCCTGTCATGGAAACTGTATTTTTCCTTCATAGAAATACACATGCACACACACACACATATCTATATAATACAATATAGGACTAAATTTCTATTTGATAGAAATTGTCACAGTCCCCAAATCTAGTATACTGAAAGCCTCTTTACCTCTTGGCAGCAACGTCTGCTTACAATAGCCCTGTAGTCAATTCTACTCCAGAGTTGGTCTCTTAACTTTAAGAAATCAGGAAAGAGCTTTCTCCAAGTTTTTCCCAAAGCCCATGGAAAAATTTCGTACTTAGACTCTTCATCATCTTCCTCAACAGTATTAGCCAGATACCTACACAAATATGAATATTAAGAATCTTGAAATTTCAGTCATCGTATTTGTATGACTTCAGATATGTACCTTTAAACCTGTCACACATTTCCTTGCTTCCATTAATTTGTGGACATTTTCTACCAAAATTACCTTTCTGCTAGGATGAATTACCTAGTTTTGATTTTTGAAATTGTCTTTTCGATCTCTGAGGCAGAGATCTCTGGATCTCTGTCCAGATGAGCACAGACGTGTGGTATGTGGTGCTGCAGATCTGTCTGCAGGTAATCCTAGGGTCAAAAAAGCCCATGCTGAAAAAAAAGGAGGGCGGTACACATGGTAGCAGTGCACACAGCTCAAAACCGGAGCCGGGGCTGACTGGAGCCTTGCTCCAGATGCTGACTGGGCTCCGAGCGACTGGATTGCCACTGCTGCAGCCCCAGGAGGACCTCAGGACCCCAAGTAAGGCTGCTGGGGCCAGCACGGTGCTGACCCCAGGCTCCCCTACCCCACCTGGGGTAGCCTGCCGCATGCCAGATCACTCATGGCACAGGCGTTCCCTGGGGACAAGTAGCAACGCAAGGTGCAATGACACTAAAAATCATGGACTAAATATAGACACTGGATTTATGGCACATTATAACTTGACAGCCATCCGATAACCACAGGTAACCTCCACATTTAACTAGCTACATTCTGTTACCAAGTCAACACTCCCCTCTTCTACTCCCACAAGTACCCATCTCACACCTATTGTTTCCTATTCCCTCTGATCCTCACTGACACATTTGCATTTTCACAGACCTGCATTTTGCATATTGGCTTCTACCATGGAGAACGCGTAACACCAGCAGACTCTCCCTATGCCCGAAGAAGGGTGTTTATGGCTGAAAGCTTGCAAAAAACAATTTTCCCACCTATTTAGTTGGTCTAATAAAAGATATCACATTTACCCAAAGAACCTTGTTTGCCTATGTCCTTAGACCAACACAGCTACAACCAGCAGCCACAGAATTTAAGATGCATGCAATAGTAAATTCATAACAAATTGGATATAAGCTTATTTGCAAGTAGTTTTAGTAATTTGTACACACAAACTACATGAAAGACATTATTAATATCACAAAGTCTAATACTTAAAAGTTACAAAATGCCTGAATTAAGGTTAACTGAGAGCCATAATTCACTCCCCTTGTATGCATATGTTATGTTATAGTGTTTGAGCACAAATTATTTTTCCAGAGAATTCCTGCCTCTCAGAGCTAGAGTGGCTCATCACTGTTTATCTTCATTTTCTTCTCATTGATCAGTGATTGATCTTCTCTTATTTAATGCAAAGTATTTCAATTCTGCTTTGAAGACAGAATTTTAAATTTCCTTACAGGTTTTTTCCCTGGAGCTTCTTACTGCTCATCCAAATGCTTCACAAATATGAAGTTCATAAAGCCTGTGTCAGTTGAAGGCATGATGAAGGCATAGAAAGATTAAGGTAAAAAGAAAGACGAAGGCATAGAAAGATTAAGGTAAAAAGTACCAACTACTTTTGTATACCCAATCTGAGATACCTAGGAACTTATTTTTCAGAGTAGTTAGTATTATATAGCACTTTGTACATTTAAGTACAGTATCCATTGACTTCCTCTGCACTTATGAGTGCTCTGTCCTTCTCCAAAGCAGTCTCCGTGGTCTCCAGGGACAATTCATGAATATCATACAGAAAACCTGACAGAAGCAGCAATAGAATTAATCTTTTCAGAACAGCAATCAACTGTTAAATATTAAAACTTTTCTTCTCTTCCTGAAATCCCTTGCTTCACTCACTATACACCTACCTCTTGCAACAAAAAGGCAGGTGTGCTATAGTTTCTTCTACATTGGTTTGTCCCCAGAGCATGCACATCTGGTGCAACAAATTAGGTAAGGATCCTGGGGAAAAATAGCATGGGATTGCATATTTAGAGACTGAATCAGTACTTGCACAACATAGGTGGCCAATCTAAGGCTCCAAAGGCAATATTAATTCTAACATTTATGGATCTCTGTTTGAATTTGAAACCCTAATATTGTTATTTAAGGTAAATTTGTGTATATAAGTTCCTAGGTTTTTAAAAAAGCAAACTGAAAATATAAATTCCATCATGTGATATCACATTGGTACCCATATGGTTCATCAGCTGGCTTAGGTCCACCCCACAGAATTGTGCTGCTTGAGCTCGAAAGGGACATAATTCACTAAGGCTTTTTGTCATTGCTGCATTTTGTATTTTTGTGCCTAAAATTTATATTTGTGTGCACCTAGGTGGAACTAAAAAAGGAAGTTATGCATCCCAGGTTTCCATATGTATTCTCTGGATAGGTGAGGGATTGCAAACACTCTGAAGGATGCAATCAGAAATCAAAAGGATCTTGATAAACTGGAGAACTGGCCACTAGACAACAGAGTGAAAGTCAACAAAGATAAGTGAAAGATTCTACACCTAGGAAAGAAAAATCAAATGCATAAATACAGAGTGGAAGATGATTGGTAAGGCATTCACATTGCTGAGAAGAATCTGGAATTGCTGGTAGATCACAGACTCACCATAAGCCAGCAATGTGATGTGGTCAGCTAAAAAAAGCAAACTCAGTTTGGGGCTGCAGGAGACATAAGATATAGGAGGTGATAATACCACTGTACCCAGTGCTGATTAGACCTTAGCTAGAGTAGTGTGTGCAGTTCTGGGTTCTGTAACTTAAAAATAATGTGAAAAAACTGGAGAGGATCCAGAGTTAATCAAAAAGACAATAAAGGGATAAATGCCGGTCCTACAAGGAAAGAGTGAGAGAACTAAGAACGTTTAATTTGGTAAAAAGGAGATTAAGGGGAACCAATGTTTGAAAAGCTACTTAGAAGAAGAGCGAACATAGATTGTCTCTTGCCACAGAAGGCAGGACGTGAAACAATGGACTTGAACTTTAGCAAAGAGGATTTAGCCTAAATCTCTAAATAAATAAATACACCCTTCCTTACTGTCAGAACAAGAGGACAATGGAGCAAGCTGCCAAGAGAAGTTGTGGCATCTTTCTTTCAAAGTTTTCAAGAAGTATAGGAATAGCATATCCTGCATTGTGTAACGGGTTGAACTAGATGACCCTTGAGGTCCCTGTGATTCTAAACTTTGAATGGTGACCCTTGAGCATATTTTGGTTGAGATTCACAGCAGCCAGCATGCTATTCAAGGGGATGCATAATATAGCCAATAGGAGTATGGAAGAGGTGTGCTTGTCTGGGTCCCTATCCTCTCATGGAATTAGGCAACATTTATACAGACCCTGCAGCTCAGACGAGTGTTGTTCATAGGTTGGGATTCAGTGATATAAGCCCCTATATAGGCACAGGCACATACATTTACTCATCACTGAAGTGGGCATAAGCCTAAATTCTCTCATTTTCTCAACAGTTTACATGCCACCAGCACTTAAAGCAAGGCAATCTCAACACTCCGCTCTCTCCTTTTTCCGACTGAGGATTGTTGAAAGCATTTTAATAGCTCTTCTGTGGTTGCATTTTACTCATTTTGCAGGACTGTCATGTATTTAGCCCTTGTTATCATGCTGCACACCCTTTAGAGACTCTCTCATCCTAGTTTAACATGTAAAAGGGATAGGAGGTCATATACCCTTATGTATTAGATATATAGAAATTCATATTTTCAAACTGTGCAGTGTAAATGATTGAGAAGTGGGACACATTTTCATTGCATTACTCAGTAGCTACTGAAATTCTCTCTATCCTTTTTTGTTTCAATAATACCCCAAATTTCTCTGATCTGCTCAGTCTCTCTCAAAATGCAACCTTGAAGAACACATTTTCAGATGATTCCCACACACTGCTAGCTTTGGGCATATGTGCAACAATGCTGGGCAAACCGATTCCACAGCATTATCACTGAAAGATAATGGTTTACCCTTGAACAGAATCTGAGGATCAGTTCCTCCTCCACTTCTCCACATTTTCATTGGACACTGGTTAATTAGTGCATTGTTAGTGACTAATGTAATTGTGCAAATACTCCGAAAAAGGCCATCGAACACAGAGCACAGGGGCAATAAAGTACCTTACTTCACACATTAAAATTTCTACTGTGTAAGGTAGAAAAAAATTGGCCAAAGATTTTAGCTAAACACATCCTTTTGTTGAGTCGTGCATCCTACAAAAAATACCTCCTGTAGTTTACCAAGCTCAATTTACCTTTAGAAAAAACTCTATCTATACCACGCTCAGAGAATCAAACCTGAGACTACCATGACACACAACTAAACTAGCAGGAGCAATACAAAATAGTTGGGGTTGGGTCCTGCTTTGAGCAGGGGGTTGGACTAGATGACCTGAGGTTCCTCCCAACCCTAATATTTTGATTCTATAAAAATGCTACAGATGTCATATATAGAGCAATTGAAAGGCTGAGGTCAAAGGAATCAATGAGATTGTGAAGAAATTGTAGTCAATAGGAATAACGTACAGGTTGGCTTGATAGATGCTTTCAGATTCTGCCTAGAAAAACTGGTCAACCATGCACTAATGTAGTTAAGGCAACTCCAAAATGACATGTTTATCTTATGCATATTTACATGCGTCTGAATCAGAATAGTAAATGGTACAAGCATGCTCTGTAGCTAAGTGTGCTGGAACATAGCTATGCATTAGCTAGTTTAACACCTAGAAAGCATAGCTCTGCATATGCATGTCTGAATCACAAGTGCATAACTATTTACATGGGTCAATAATGAATTGCTTGGATTGTAAAAGACAAAATCTTACTAAAATGCAACTTAAGTGCATAAATACCTTTTGAATCAGACCCTGGGTAACTGATAGCAATAGTGCATTGCCATGCTCTGTGTAGACTAGTGTTAAGAGGGATGAGAGGTATGCTTTGCTAGTGTGTTATAAGCCTATTTGCTAACAGCAAAGGGATGGTAAGATTCAGGAATCTTAAGTTTTCTTTCATTGTGTAGAGGAGGCTGTGCTCTAATTGGCATAGACTTGTACCCATATTCCAAAAATCTCTCTTATGCTCCCCCTCCACTGTGCAAGTCTAAATTTCTTCCCTGGACTCCTCATTCCACCTCAGTGTCTCCCTTAACCTCTCTGTAATTTGTTCTGGTCTTTTTGCTCAGGCAGACCTAGTTCTCCTCCCACCTCTCCCCTCCCCACCTCCCACCCTCTCATCTTCCTGTCAGAGCACAGAGCACAAAGGAGTTCTCCCTGTTTCCGGTTCTGGTGCAACCCATGAGCACCAGGAATAGTCATTACAGGGAAAGTCCTTCTGAGTTTCACTAGCATGGGCATGGAACATATAGAGTCACTGTAGGGATGGCTCATACACAGTTCAGTCACACATGGGAGTTGTCAGAGGACATAACATGCTCGTTTGCTTTGTGGGCATCGTATACATGCAGATCCGTCACATGTAAGAGCTAGGAAGGGAGGGAGTCTTTCTGTGGAAAATGTGCATATGCAATCCAGTTACAGTTGGAAATCGTGAGAGGCCTAAGCATGCCGAGTAAGCATGGAATCAATGGAGATTTCAGCTGCTAAAATCTACATACTCTCTTCTTTACATATGCAAACTGCATTTTTTCAGAGATTTATAACTTGGTCAAATTATGGCAGATTTGAGGAGGGTAGCAAGAATACACACCTTTCACACATTCATCTGCCAAATACCATGTCCATGCTCCAACATATAAAGGCATTAGCACCATCCAAAGAAAACATGTCAAGAATTGTTTTAGTATGGGGAAACAATGCATCTTTCCTGAACTTCATTCTCAGAAATGATAAACCACAGTTGTGGAAAAGTTTCAAACAAATTCTGCCTGATATACACATCTACTAGGGCTGTGCGAAGCTTCGGTCCCTGATTCAATTCGGTGGAGATTTGACTCAATTTGGTGGTCAAATCTCTGAATCCAAATTGAATCAAGAGACCCTTTAATCTCTCTGAATCGAATTGGAATCCTCCAAATCAATTTGGAGAGATTTGGAAAGATTTGGCGATTCGGACATAGACACAACTTTAAATGTTTTTCTACATACCTTTAGGTACCAGGCGGCTCATGAATGCTGCGATGCTGGGGCAGATGGAGCGTCCCACTGAAGCGCAGGGAGTTCCGCGTGCTCGGCAGCAGACTCGGAAGAGGACCAGAAGCACTTCCGGTCCACTTCCGGGTCTGCCGGAGAGTGCACAATGGGGCCCCCCTGCACACCCCTTGGCTCGGTGACTGGTGCCTCCTGGGTCTGGGGGGGCACCCAGGGTCCCCCCATGGCCAACTGCTGAGTCAGAGGGCCTCCCCCACAAGCTCTTCAGTGGACCTGGAAGTGGACCGGAAGTAGTTTCAGTTCACCACCGAGCATGTGGAGAGTCCCACCACACTCCTGTGGGATACTCCATCCCCCCACCATTACAGCATTCACAAGCCACGCTGCTACCTCAAAGTATGTAGAAAAAACATTTAAAGCTGTCTCTATGTCCGAATCACTGACTCTCTGAATCAGCATTGAAACTTCAGATTTGGATTTGCCTGAATTGAATCAGGGACAGTGATCGAAATCAACTAATTGAATCACTGTCCCTGATTTGGCCCGAATCCAAATCTGAATTGAATAGGGCCCAAATATTAGGCAGGCAAGGTTCTTTGGGTAGATGTGACATCTTTTATTAGACCAATTAAATAGATAGAAAAATTATTTGCAAGCTTAACACAAGCTTTTGTGCGCAAAAGCTTGCAAAGAACTTTTTTCCATCTATTTAATTGGTCTAATAAAAAATGTCACATCTACCCATGGAACCTGGCCTGCCTATGTCCTTAGACCAACATGGCTACTACCAACAATCCAAATATTAAACATTTGGCAAATTTACAAGCAACCGAAAACAGGATCTTATCATGGAAGTGTCAGTCAGTTTTTAATAGTAGGCATTCCTATTAACTTCACCTATATTATTTTCAATGCTTCTTTAATAAGGTTGCCAATAAGAGTACTGAATTTATAATGGGGGCAAAGAAAATGTTTGCAATATGAACCCCCCATTAGAAACCACATTTGGAATTTTAATTTGAAAATCAATATTATCAGTTGCATAAGCACAGGAATAAACCAATACAAAGATACATAATATTAATAACACAACCAGGTATCTGAAGAATACTTACAGAGCAACAAAGAAATTAAGTCTGGTGTGCTCATTTATATTGAAGTTAGCCCTCTTGAAATAAACAAAGGTCATTGCCAAAAGATACTGTTAGAAAAGGTAAAAAAAAAAATTAGAATATTAACATTCTTTGTTTTCAGTATAATATTGCTTAATATATTTTAATTGGTGCTGTATACAAGGCTGTATTTTGTGCATTCCTCCCCACCCAGTAGTTTCTAAATTATGCTGTCCAGAAGCTTCGGTGGAGAAAATGAGAGTACATTATAGAGTGCAGAATATGGTCTATGTTCATGCTATATTATCAAGTGATTAGGGGTAAGACACTTGTTCTAGAAGTAGCCTGTTAACCATGACACCAAGGCACCAAATTTACCTTATCTGCAATTTTACAGCAGCAATCCATCCATAAGAAGTCTTGAATTAGATCATCATCTGCAACAAAAGATAGTCATGAATTTCAATTGATATAATTAACTATTTTTCTAAGGAGGCTTTTTTTTTTACAGACACATATAGAAAAGTTTTTAGGGTTTTGTTTTGTTTTTTTAATCAAGCCTAATAAAGGAAATTTTCTTGATTTGATTAAAATGAAAAAGAAAGGAGATGATGACAGGAGAAGGGGGTTAGCAGTGGAGTAAGTCCCAATAATAGGAGAGAAATCATAACACAGGCAAGGCAGAAAACACAAAGAACTCCATTCATAGTTGCAGGGGTGTAGGTTGTAGCCGTGTTGGTCTAAGGACATAGGAAGAGCACACACCAACTGCTGAAACTTCCTTAGACTGACAAAGGGTTTTTGAACCTGAAAGCTTGCTTAATAACTATTCTCCAACTATTTGGGTTGGTCTAATAAAAAATATCAGATTCACCCAAGGAACCTTGTCTGTCCATTCATAGTTAACGTTAGTTACTACAGGGCTGCTGAATGCCATTGTGTGATATTCTCCCCCCTTCATTTATTTAATTTACTGCACCTACGTGGTTGTATTTAATTTAAATTAACACAGCACCTATATTTCTGACTAACCACACAGGCAAGGAAATTCTTGCATTTTGATTGTCTGGAAGCCATTATTAGGCTGTAAGTATTAAAGTATTTGCATAATTAAGTATATAGCTCCCGATAATTATCCTATGATGAAGAAGACTGACTATATTTGGGTACTGTAAATTCTCTGTTCTAATTGATTTCTGTACTCAGAATTTTTAGGAACAAAAGAGCCTCCTGCTATTTTTCTGTCTCTTTATTTGGAGCACAAAAACTATAAAAATGTATACAACAGAAATGAAAACTCTAGTAGCTCCTAAACAATTTTGCACGTTTTCTCCTCATTTGGTTTCCCTTCCTGAATGATCATTCCACAATAATGTACTTTCTTCCATTGTTGATAAATTCAGCCTCTTTCAAATCTATTTTGAAATGTAATGCAATATAAATGTATACTTTATATACAAAAAGATCGTTGGTAAGCTATAGGGCCTGATAGTGATAAAAGAGGAAAGAATAAGGAGAGAAAGGGAATGATGACAGCAGAAGGAAAAAGTAATTTGCTTCTGTTTTTTAAATCAAATATGTATCTTTCAGTATTTTTGTAACACTTTTTGTATTTTGTTTTAATTTAAAAGGTACATATTTGAACGTTGAAGTACAACAGCAAGTTCTAATAGAGAACTGGAAGCTTTTAAACTAATTGAGGAATATCTTTCCATCATTTCAGTTTAGTGGTGTGAGTTCTCTGGCCTTAGAATTTCTTCAGAACAAGATATGCTTGCTAGTATATACGCAAGAAGACACTCAAATTATTATTGCATTTAAAAAAAGCCATAGCTGCTTATGTAGCATATCTGAAATCTCAATTTGCACAATTTTACTCAAAATATATAATTGTTAGCTTACCAAACAGTTTAAAGAAAGCAGTCATCTCCTGACGCTGAATTACTAGACATGGACCTTTTGGACGTTTACATTTATTACCATGCACATTGTTTTCACCGCTTTCTTGACTGTCTTTAAAAAGAGGACGTTTTAGACAAATAGGTTTTTTTTGTTGATGTGATCTGGATGCACTCGATTTTATATAAACAGTGACAGTGGGAGTTGTCTGACAAATTAGATTATGTCTCATTTTGGATAATCAGGTAGGTCCCTGTTAAAATAAAAAAGTAAAATATTAACTGTGTAGATAATATAGCATGCATCTTTTTTCTATATTCACATTGGTATAATGAGCAACCATACATATAATTAAAAAGTGTATGCATAGTTATATTGCAAACTCTGTCTTCGTAACTTTTATTTGCTACAGATATTTTCAGATGTGTCTTATATGCAAGTTCTTATACAAAATAGGGAATTGTACCAAGATAGTTTTCCGTGCTACAAAAGCACTGTCATGTGAGCAGTCCTATTTAACTTAACATGGAAATTCAAAAGTATAAAGTTACCCATGTATAATTTGTGGCATGACTGGGGCCACAGTAGTATCTCTCAAATGAGCAGTATAGTATATATGCCCTGTTTCCCTTTTTTTCCTGTTTTTCAATTAGTGTGATCATCTTCAACTTGTGAATAAAATAAATTAAAAACAATCAATTCACATTAAAATGTCTTCTGAATTTTTTGAATATGTACAGTTTTATAATAAGCATTTTTTCCTCTACAAGTAAACTGCATTGAGCTGTGCAGTTGTTGATTTTACTAGATAAACAGCATATGTGCTAAAAATCAAAATTGGGAACTTAGATTGGTAAAACTAATATTGTTGTTACTACACATCTAATACCATTACATTATTATCTAATAATATTATGAAATAATTTAATAATATTAAATGCTATAATAATTGCTAATGAATTCTTGCTATATAATAAGTTGTATATAGATTTGTCAATAGAGTTTGCTGATGGAAGAAATTAGATACAATTATCAGAAGCACTTCAGATATTGAAACCTTTTTTAAAATCCTCTTCAAGTATTGTTCCAGGCCAAATAAAGTATAATAAACAAAATCTCCACTGTTGTTAGAAATACTTAAAATTTGTCAGAGCTTCCTTCAGAGAAGACCACTTTTTGCAAGTAGAAGAAGACAACTCAGTCCCTTGGCTTTTCTGCTATGGCTGCAAATACAGGGCCAGTGGTGAAGGGTTTTTTTGCTCAAACAGAATACAGGCAGAGATCGCTAATTTGTCTTGCACAGATCAATAAGCTTTCCAGTTGGAAGTTACTTAACCAAACTAACAACCTGAAGGCAAAACTCTATATGACCTATTACTCTTTTGAGCCATCTTGCTCCTCTCATTAAAGGCAGAAGGCAACACCGGGTGGCACCTTAAAGATTAATTTATTCAGAAAGGCTTCTGCAGGCAACCGATGATATTAGGATGCCACCCTGCCCTGCAGTCTGCCTGACTTCAGACTAACACTGCTAACTACTTCTCTCCATTAATAATGAGAAGAAAACAAAAACATTTTTACCTCCCAAAAGGCACAGGTCCTTGTAAAACACCTAAGTTTGTGTTTTATCAAAAGTACTTTGAATTTCTATCATTTCATCCAAGGCTCATCCAAGCACTTAATACCTTTTGAAGTAAGCAATGGCAAAATAACCTGAGCCTAAGACCCTGTCATATAGCTATGTGCATTTTTTTTATGTAGACATGACCTGACTTTCGATAAAGCTTACTCTCAAAGAGAAAGAGTCTTTATCTATTTTCTTTATTCATTCAGAATTTCCAGAAAACACTGCATTAGACAAGTTCACAGTCCTTCATTAAAGTCAACAGTAATCAAAGGAATCTTAATTCTTAACTTCCTACTCACAATTTGCCTTTACAAAACCCACAGATTAAATTATTGGGAATTTTAGCATAGGTGTAATTAAATCCAAGCACAAAATAATGCTAGAGTAACTCTGAGGTCTTGAACTGGTTTTGTAACATTTGTTATAAACTATATAAGCTGAAGAGAGGAAACTCCCCATTAAATAAGAGAAATTATAGAGCCAGAACCAAAGAAATCAAGCTTTTAGATAAGAAATGGTGCCATATAATTTTCAGCATTGAAAAGATGCCAAAGGGATCTCGAGAAGAGTTTCTTGGTCAGGGGAGAGGGCAATTCCTGTGAAAGGAAAGGTGTTTGGGAGGGAGGGAGGGAGGGGAAGGGGTTATAATCACCACAGTATAACAAAGAAAGGGCTGTTACTGAAGAGTGGAGCTGCAGAGGAAGCCATGTTTGGATCAAAAACACAAGGAGTGGGAAGTATCCTTTTGAGCAGGGACTAATGTCAAAAAGATTATCCACCCTGCAAGAATCATCCTGCACCTTTTGAATGAACCCCAACACAGAAGAGGGATCTCTTAGAGGAATAGTTTCCGTAGGCCCCAAATAAAGTTTAGGCACTGTAAGGCCTATACCCAGGGGGCCCGGGTCTTAGAAAGAGACACGCTGTGCGATTGCATCGGAAGTGTGTGTGTGTGTGAGTAAATAAGCCTGTGACCCAACTGTTCCTGATGCAGTGAGACACATGGAGTCTGCAGAAAGCCTGAGACAACCTCTCGGAGCGGTGCCAGTGTCCCTGTCTCAAAGGGCCGTAAATGTCAAGACCCCCTGTGGTCTGGAAAGCTCTGCCAATGCCAGTCCAGCAGCAGGATCTGTCTGGGGCAAGAGGAGGGGGGCAGAGCAAGGAGGGTACGACCTCTCTCTCCCACCCCAGCCCCTCTGGGGGCTCCCCTGGGGAGACAGGCACACCCCCTGCCCTTCTGGAAGGGCCTCCTCTCCTGACAACCTCCAGCCATGGTGGGGTGGCAGGAGTGGGGGCGGTCCCATGCTCTGTCCAAGGCTGTTGTCAGTCTTGGACCGAGTTTGTGGGGTGGGGGGAGCATCTTCTTAGAGATGTTACTACTCAGCGGGAGTGGGGGGGCGTGCCCACAGGAATGCTAACGGGGGGTGGGCAGCTTTTTGGGAGGCAGGGGCGGTGCCTCGCTTATAGGGGAATTTTGTGCCACATGGGGCATCCCTGCCAGGGCAGTGGCAAAGGGAAGCGCAGGCTCAGTGTTAATGACTACCTCAGGCTGGGTGCCTGGGTGGGGAGGAGAAGGAGCTGACAAGCAGATTTGCTGACTGCCACCACCACTGCCTCAGGCCAATGCCTCCCAGTGCCTTGGCCCCACCCCTTTTATAGCCAACCAGGGCAGAGGCGGGAGCAGCCTCAGCCAATTGGAGTGCTAGGAACTCACTCCCTCCCTCCCCCCCAGCCTGAGGCATCAAATAGGTTGATTCCCCTCAGGCCATGTCCTGGGAGGTGTGGGGGAGGGGAGAGGCCAGTCTCACCCAATCAGAAAGGAGAGTGCTCTATTGCTAGGCAGGACAGGCAGATGAGGCGGGCTCTGGGCTGAGTCAGGACCAGCACCCAGCTTTCCTCTCACCGGTGCTGAAGCAGCACCCCACCTGCACCCTCCCTGCTGAGCCCGGGGCACCAGGCCCTTCCAGCCGCTCCCTCTGGGCCTCTCCCTAGCAGTGTTGCTAAGTCTCGCAAGAGGGAGAAAAAAAAGCAGCACTGCTTTTAAAAAGCAGCCCAACCCATGTCAAAGAGAGGGGAGTGGGGGTGCTTATCAACCCACAACTCTCAAAAAATTAAAGGGACTTTTAAAAAAATCCTAAACAAGTCCAATTCTGCTTATTATAAACACTGCTCCTCCCCGGCCCTCTGTGTCTCCAGCAGGGCACAGCGCCTCCAGGGCTGCTGGGGTGTGGAGATGGGAAGGGAAGGGAAAGGCAACCAGCTAGAGGCTGGGTTAGAGTCACAGAGAGGCAGGGCTGGAAGGGACCTCCAGGGGTCATCTAGTCCAGCGTTTCCCAGCCTGAGAGGCAGGATCCAACAGTGGGTCACAAGGATATATGAAAGGGTTGGGAACCAACTTTTAAAATGGATCAACAAACTTTAAAAAATGGATTCTCCTTTAAAGGAGAAACACATGGGAAACTGTGGCTTTTCCCTTGCAGGCTGGCCTCTTTGCAACCTGCAAGGGGCTGCTTGGGGACCTCTTGCCCCACACCCCCTCCCGCCCCACACACTGGGGGGCTGGGGGCAGAGGGCAGTGGGTTGGGAGTGAGGGGCACTGGGTGGGGACTGGCCATCGATGTTTACAAATGGGTCCTGATACAAAAAAGGTTGAGAAGCACTGGTTTAATGCAATCCTCTGCCTGAGGCAGGATCATCCCTATGCAAGCCATCCCCTACAAACCATCACAATTCCATTGTGGAGAAATGACCACTAAAGGTGGGGTGAGATATAAGGTTTACTACTAGGGGAAGAGGAAGGGACAGAGAAAGGAGGAGGGGAGAGACCCAGGACTGGGAATCTGAGGCAAGGAGGGTTAGAAGAAAGAAGCTATAGAAAAGATAGAAAGCAGAAAGTCCCATGGATTGAGAAAGAAATCCCAAGAACATAGAGCTTGAGAGGGAAATTATTTTCCTACTCCACTGAGGCGTGAGGGGGCGCAGTTTGTGCCCAGAAACCTGTCTAACCTCTCTCTCCAATAAAAGGTATCACAAATCCCTCTTGGTTCCCATTCCATGAGTTAAAAAAAAATCCTATATACCATATTGCAATGAGCCCAAAGTTGTTTGAAATGTTTCATGAAAAACAAGCAAAATCTAATATAGACAAGAGTTCAAGAGAGAGGGGTCATTCATCTGGACTGTGGGAAACCAAGGTTCAAATCCCGGCTCCAGTGAATATTCAGCTATTTATACAAAGTGGAACACCTCCAGCAGGACTAAGTCACAGGCTCTTATTCCAACATAGCCAATAGCTTGGTGGCTAGGGCACTCAGGATGTAGAAGGCTGAGCTCCAGCTATGAGGGGGAACTTGAAATACCACTTTTTTAGGGGTATTTAGATGCAGGCTGGGTTCATGTCTGAATGTAACAATGAATAATACTGGCACTGATACTATGGTTTTCATGCTTAAATCTCAGTGCTTTATCAGTGTGGGCAAGTTTCATTACATCCATTTTAGAGACAGTGTTTCTGAGGCACAGAAAACTGAGTTGACTTAACCCAAACTCCAGTCTCTGTCAAAACTGCCACATATATCCAATCAGAAAGTTTTGTTTTTTATCAATCAAGGTCTTCAGATAAAAAAAAGTGTTTAAAAATTCTACTGGCTCTAGCAGATAGCTCACAAGGGAAAAGCAAAAAGAAGAAGTATAAAGAAAGCCTAGGAGAATGGAGAAAGAAGAATAAAAGAGGGAGAGTTATAGACAGGAGAGCTGGAGGCAGGAAGGAAAAGAATGTTATAATGGAAACATTTGGAGGCAGGAAGCCTGGAAAAAAATTAAAATCAGAAGGATAACAAATATTGAAAAAAACTGATGGAAGATAGACAGGAAGATAAAAACACAATCAATAATACCTATAATCAGAGGTCAGGAGACTTGGGTTCCACATCACTTCACACATTCGCGTCTCCACATTCCAGGTCTCCAAAGTTGCAAACTCCTGTGATTTTTATAGCAAGTTTTTGAAGTGTGGTATTTGGTGTCTTTCTTAAAGCTCAATACTGTGCAATCATATAACTATATGAGACTCAGATTTTTTTTCTCTCTCACTTTAAAGAGTTTAGTTCCTAGTTTTAAAAAAAAAGTGTGTGTGCACGGAAGGGGAGGAGTTTAAAAACATGAATCCTAAAAGCTCAAAACCACAAAGGTAGGCAGGTAATGAAAAAAACCCAGAATTTATTACTGAAAATATCATGGTTTTATTAAAGAAGGCAGGGTAGATAAAACTGTATATAGTCTTATACACTAAATAGATCAGCATGGCATAAGCTTTCATAAGCAGAAGTTTTTTCATCAGATGCTACAAAGAAACTAAACACAGCTTTTAAATAGAAATCTGTGATTAGCATATAAAGTGTAGGGA